GCGCACGACAACCACCCTCTCCCGCGGGGGGAGAAGGGGCATTGCAATCGGATGGTCCCGTGAATCCACTCGCTCGCGCTCATGGCTGCTACTGATGCGTGTAGTGATTCACCGTCTCACCGTCTCACCGTCTCACTCAATTGAGCCCATCGCTGCAAGCGCGGGCGCGTCCGCTCCCTGACGGTCGCGGTTGCTACGGGTTGTCGCGCGGATTGAGGCTTATTCGCTGGCGTTCTGGTCGATGAGGTGGTCGAGGAAGGCGGATTCGACTTTCTCGTAGGACTCGCGTGTTCGGGCGAGGTCGGTGATGAACTCGGCGATGGCGGCGCGGTCTTCGTCGGTGATGTCGCCGGCGGGTTTGGCGAGGATGGTCTCGAGTCGGTCGGTGAGGATGCGGACCTCGCCGACGGTGCGGGCGTAGCTGCGGGCGGAGTTGTAGAGGAGCTCGTACTCGAGGTCGCGGACGTTGGGTCGGTAGAGGAGCCGCCAGGGTGCGGCGCGGATCTCGAGGAGGGTGTCCTTGACCTGGTCGGAGGTGAGGCGGAAGTTGGCCATGGTCTCGCGGATGTTGGGGCGCTGCTCGAGGAGGACGTTCTCGGCCTCGGCGAGTGCGGTTTCGGCGCTGTCGGCGGCGGCCTTGCCGCTCTCGAGGAGGTCGGCGGCGAGGTCGGCGAGCTCGCCGTTGAGGCGGTCCATGAAGGCGTCGGCTTTCTCGGAGACGTCCTTCGCGTTGGCGATGGAGGCGCGGACGTCCTCGCGGTTGTCGTCGAGGTAGGCCTGGGCGGTGGCGAGGACGTCTTTGAGCTGGGTGGTGCGTTCGTCGACGTTGTCGAGGAATCCTCGTGCGTCGCCGGAGACGTCTTTGATGTTGTCGAAGACCTCGTCGACGCGGCTGGCCCAGTCGGGCCACTTCTCTCGTGCGTCGGCGGTGATGGCGCGGACGTCGCCGGCGATGGCGTCGGCCTGGGGCCTCAGGGAGGTGTTGATCCACTCCGAGGATTCCTGGACGTTCTTGGCGATCTCGTCGGCGCGTTCGATGATGCTCTGGACTTTGTTCTGCTGGTCCTCTCCGAAGCCGGCCTGCGCGAGGAAGCTGGGCGGGGCGAGGCGTCCGGGGATGGGGTCGTCCTCGGCGATGTCGGGACCCTCGCCCAGGGCGACGAAGTTGATGACGGAGGTGGATCCGAGGAGGGGTTTCTGGAGGAAGGCGATGGCGCCTTCCTTGAACTGGATGTCGTTGTCGACGGAGATGGTGACGTGGATGGCTTCGATGGTGCTCGGGTCGGAGCGGTGGAAGCTGACGGCGGCGACGGTGCCGACGGTGCGGCCGCCGAGGTGGACCTGCGATCCGGCCTCGAGCCCTTCGACGCCGGTCTGGAAATCGAAGGAGACGGTGTAGCTGCGTTTTCCGATGAAGTCGAGGCCGCCGGCGAGCATGATGACGACGGCGATGGTGGCGAAGATCGAGACGATCACGAGTGTGCCGGCGAGGGTGTTGTTGCGTGAGCCTTTGAGCGTTGCCATGTCGTTCCCGTGTGTTCGGCGTTCGTCCCGGAAGTGTTGATGCTACTGGATGGCTTTGGCGCGCGTGGTGACGATGGAGGGCGTCTTCTCGCGGAGGGTTTCCGCTCCGGTTCCGAGGAGGTCCTCTTCGTAGCTGGAGTCTTCCTTGCGTTTGGTGATGGGCCCCTCGGGGTCCCCGCGGAGGAACTGTCGGATGAGCTGGTCGGTCTGGCTCATCTGCTTCGCCTGCTCGAGGGGCGTGTCGCGCATCTGCTCGAAGTACTCGCGCGACTCGACGACGAGCATCTTGCCCTTGTCGAGCATGGCCATGCGGTCGGCGATGGTGAAGGCGGAGTCCATCTCGTGGGTGACGACGATGGAGGTGACGTGGAGCTTTTTGGAGAGGTCGACCATGAGCTGATCGATCTCGGCGCTGGTGACGGGGTCGAGGCCGGC